GTAGTTTCTCGCACGTTACTCCCTGTTATTAAGTCATAGTTGCCCTAAGTTCGACGGTTGAGCGTAGGGTTAACATCGCTATTAAAACCTCAAGGCTTATAAATACTTTACCTAAAAATACAAATACTACTATAAGAAATAATAATAATAAAAAACCTTTTGATAAAAGCCAAATAGTTTACTAGTGATGCAATGAAAAAGGTTATTATTCTAGGGAATATTTATCAGAAAGATTACTAAAGCAAAATAAAGGGATGCTAATCTAATTGAAGTTTTTACTGATGATAAAGGAGAAGATAAACATTTGAAGTATATATAGAAGAAAGGTCTTGATTATTTACTACTGATAGAAAGAATGCAAGAGTATAACAATGAGAAATGACTAGAACCTTTAAGTTAAATAAAGAAATAAATCTTAGAACTTGTACTATTAACCCAATTGAGATAAAAGTAGAATTCACTCCTAAATAAAAATTAGTTAAAAGAGCATGAAATCCATCGATGATTGATAATTTTGCACTATACAATATAGCTGATAATATTCTTTTAAGATAATCCTTTGTAACTTTAGGACAATGGTTACAAATACTAGCTCAAAAAAGAAATTTAGCAAATGCTTTAAGACGTTATCTTGTATTAACACCTAGTGTTAATTCTTTGAAATTTTTAGATAATGAATATGAAAAGAAAACAACTTCTTGTAAAACGTACACTAAGATTAAAATAATCCTATTAAAACTATAATTAATATAGGAGTAGCTTTCTGTATTATTATCAATAAGTTAGCAAAAAAGTTAAAACTTAATATTGATATACCTTCTAAGTTAATTGTAACTATAGTAAATGAAAGTCATGTGAGAGCTTTAGGACAAATTACTAAAGCAAGAATAAGTATACAACATATATCAGTTCTAGTAGAACTCTAAGTTAAAAATGTTAACGATGTTAATAACGTTGATCATTCGTCAATCTTTTGTGACGCAGTAAGATTGACTTCATATGGTATCAATTTCCTCCTCTAAATTTGCAGCTCCTGCAAAAATTTCATACGCTTCGTCAACTAA